TGTATTATATAAGTATAAATAGTATATAATTTAAAACTGCAATTGAATTATTTTATTATTATTATAACTACGATAATATCAAATTTCTCAAAAATCTTATAAAATACTAATCATTGCCTTAGAGACAAATAATAGTGAAATAAAAACTTTTGATGATATTGTATAGTCTTTCTTACTAAAATGATTATATTACTGTATAATGATTATACTATAATCTATAAATTTCTTATTATAAGTGAAAAAGTTTTTCAATTCTTGAAAAACGCTTTCAACTCAAAGGATTAAAAACTTTAAATGAATTAAAAAAATAATCCTTTTATTCCGTATTGAATATAATTTAATATCAAAATACAAATCTCCACATTGAAATATCGGTAAATATTTATGTTATTATGTCACAACAGACAATTGATTATGATATAAGTTAATATATATTATGTAAATATTAAAATGTAATTAATTTTCCAGTCATTTGCCGCATAAAAACTTTCTATACAATATTGTACCAGTAGATTCTTTAGGCTATAAGTAGACTACTGTATAATGTTATGATTCCATTAGTTTACTACTGGGAAATGTTTTATAGGAATATTCTCGTATTAATATCACGAAAGTATCTATTAATAAGTCAGAAATATTTCCCCAAAAATACAAAAATATCTAACATTTGTGACTCTAATGCGCTCTCAAAGATCACTTAAGATCACCCGAATTGACGTCAAAATAACATTAAAAGACTTAAAAAAAGTTGTGTTTATTATTCAATTCCTGGGATAATGTATTCAATACCCACTTGACTCACATATCCAGTCCTTGAATCCGACAGTTATTAAGCTCTCAATGCTCTCATCGCAAACTTGTCAACCATTTATTATCCATAAAATTAATACAATTATAAACTTATTTTTTAGTGACATGTCTGTCCTCATCGGTACTGACACTGTCGGCCATCTCATGCGACCGTTTTGTGGCCATTCTGTACCCATTGAGAGCCCGGTTCACGAAACAACGGACAGCCCTTATAATAACCATCATTTGGATTGTCTCGATGTTTATATCGATCCCATTCTTCTTATACCGAAAGCACCACATCATTGAAGTATTTGTTTTGCATGAAAATAATTAAATAAAAATCTATCGATGAAATTATTTGCAAAATAAATTAGACGTTTAGAAATCCTATTATTATAACTTATCTAATTACAATACTAACTGTATAGCATTGCTTAAATGTCATCAAACATTACTATTAGTTTGCAAAGTTTCTTATGAAAGTACTATACTATACAAGCGATTTGTGTTTATAATAATATAAAGTCATTTAAATATAAATTTTTACTTATCTATGATTTTGCTATAATAGTGGCACGACTTCACCGAAAGCCGGTGTATCGAGACGTGGCCGACACCCCGGTTCTGGGACTCCCATAGAAAACAATGCGTTACTTTGAATACTTATAAACAACTTTATTATTCAATCGTCACAATTATGCTATTCTTCATACCGGTGCTCGTTATGGTCACCGCCTATTCTTTTGTCATTAAAAGACTCTGGACTCGGGTCGTCCCGGGAGAGTGTCTACCAAAAGGTGGTCAACACTCCAGACAAATAGCCGCCAAAAAGAAAGTAAAAAGCTAAAATTATTATATCCATTGATTGAATAGATGTCTAAATAGTGTTAACTGTGTTGATAGGCAGTGAAAATGGTATGTCTGGTGCTATTGGTATTTGTCATATCCTGGATGCCTCTGCAGGTCATTGTAATCTACTCACAGTTTGGCCACTCATCTCACGATTCAGGAGAAGTATGTTTGTCTGAAAAGTTATTGTCAAATATCTGTTGAGATGTGTAAAAACAATTGTATCCATTGATTGACAGCTGCCTCAATGGTTTTCATGGCTCTCATATGTGTCTCATTTCATAGCGTATGGCTCGTCGGCCATAAACCCAATCATTTACGGCGGATTCAATCAAAACTTTAGGCACGCACTCAATGCTATACTCCGGTGTCGTTTTAGGGCTATCCGGCGACCCATTTGTAAGTTTTTAAAAGTTTTATTAAATTATGATAAAATACTATTTCATTGATATGCACAGTACGTCTGTACTGTACTCTACCGTATGTTAACATTTTTATATTAGACCATTGAAGTGCTAATTGATATTTTGAATTTTTAATTAAATCCTTAATTATATATACAATTCATATCACCAAAATGGTAATTATTGTCCATATTTCAGGTCATCAATCATTTGGTACTAATATGACAACTATTAAAGTGAATGGTAATCATAATAATTATTAGTATTAAATGTACTATATTAATAATCATTGTAATTATGATCTTTGTATTTCTCAATGCATTGAATTTCCTCCTTTCATTTAAATCCATACAAAAACTTTGTTCACTTCCAAAGTGTTTATTGTCAGGCATTGAGACAAAACAAAATATTTAATATATTTTTTATATTCATATACTGTATTGTACTGTAAGTTATAATTCTCAAAATATTTGGTAGGAATAGGAAGTACTAGAAAGTCAAGTGTTAAACAAAATATACTGTAATAAACAATATGAGAAATATTTGTAAATTTAAAGTTGTTAAACTAAAACTGTTGTTAAAATATACATATTTTGTTGAGAAAAATTGCTTATTATATAAATTACATACGTTTATGTTAATACATTTTCGTTATTAGTATACAAAATGCTAAAAGATTTATTTTTCCTCTAAAAAATTGTTTTTCGTTAAAATTATTTATATAAAAACTGAAAGCAATTAATTGAGATTTTTGTTAAAAATACTGAATACTGTATACAATTCAAGAAAATCAAAACTATTGATTAGCGAAACTGGTTAACCACATACATACACTTGAAAGTTATTTACCATAACTTATGGTCCATAAGACAGGTAGTATACGCTGTAATATTTCATCGAAAACTTGTATATAATTATCGTCTATTAAAACAAATATAAATTAGTTTGCATTTAAAAGTCTATTCATACTTTCATCGCTTAATAAATTCATGAGTGATTTAAAAATATTTGCTAGAAAAATATACCAACATCAACTACATATTTGGTATTAAGTTATAGTAAATTATTATTCATAAGATAAATGGTGTGTTTCAATGGGTGGCAAAAATGCGGATCTTATGGATACAAATATACAGTACAGGTATTAGGGCTGCCAAACGTCCTTTTGGAGGATTGTCCTCCAATCGGACCCTCAAAAAACAGTCTTCCCGAGGGTCGTGGCGATAAAAAACACTAGAATTTCGGACACAAACAATTTTCACTAAAAGTTTTATATATTTGAAAATGTGTCCATGTGTAATAAACTATAATATTTATATTAACTAAATATTCACCATAAAAAAGGTAAGTAATGTAAGAGCAATACAGAATTTATTGTATTAACTAGTATAGATATATACGCTAATATTTTTAATCTTTG